GAACATGTCCACTAATTCTATGTCAGTCAAAGGGGGTTGCACTCTTCCAACTAGGTCCCTCCATTTTTGAGCATACTCCTTAAAGCCTTTGTTTGAGCCCATAGTCATACTTTGTAATTGCATGCATGTCAGTGCAAGATCAACATTGTATTGGTATTGTCTGTAGAAGGCAACTGCCAAATCCTCCCATGTGTGGATATTAGTCCCCTATAGTTGATAGAACCATTCTAACTGTGTTCCAGATAAGCTCTCTTGGAAGAAATGAACCCATAACTTCCTATCGGCGGTATATGGTTGAATCTTGCGGACATAAGACCTCATATGCATTTTGGGACAGGAGATTCCATCATACTTGGCGAAGACAGGAAACTTGAATTTGTGGGGAATGACCATCCTAGGGACCAAACGTAAATCTCCAAAGTCCAAACTAGGAACTTTTTGGATCCATACATCCTTAAGTCGGTCTTCTAGCTGTTTGTATTTGTCCTCCGCCGGTGGGTACTGCTCATTGGAGTAGTCTTCATCCTCGGAAATCTGATTATTTCCACCCCTAGCCCTGGTGCTTCTAACATCTTCTTCTTGATTGTCTTCTTCCTCAGAAGAAGCCTCTTCTATTTGAGTCAGTCGGGCGGGCCCTTTGAACCTTCTTCCCATATTGAGAATAACATCTCGTTTCTTGGTCTTCCTTTTGGTGGCAAGGATGCCATTATTTCTTGTTGTCCTTTAGCTAAGTTGAGGAGAGTCTCTTGGAACTGTGCGTGTTGAGTTTGTAGATCTTTGACGGTTTTCTCTAGAGCCATGTTATACAGAAATAAATATTAAAAAGATGAAGAAACCTGTATCAGAAAACCTTCTTATGATATGATGCATGCTATGTCGATGCAATGTTTTCAAAGACCTCAAGAGATTTAAATTTGCTAGCCAAAAAGGAAACAGAAACAACAATTGTATTAATAAGTTCAAAAGTTACAATTTCCCCTTGGACTTACAATAGGAAAGCAAAAAGGTCTCAAAGAGACAACAAAATGAACTCCTAAAACAAAAGACTCAAGTCTCCCATGGGCGTTTCCTCTTGTGTCGAGACAGGAATTCAGGCTTTTCTCCTCCTGAAGTTGCTTGGTAAGCTCCAACACTTTCTTCTCTCTTGCATAGGATCGAGCTTCAAAGGTATCTCGTTACCCGTTGAGTTGAATCTAATATCTCTGCAATTCTTCGAGGTTGGTAGGCATGTCAGGATGGAGAATAGTATAAGGAATATCCCCTTTGGCAATGGGCTCCATAATCACTAGCAGGACGGTTGGATACAACATCATGAGACTTTGAGCACAAGCTCTTACCCATTTCAGATAAGGCTCAAGAGGGATGAAATTCTTATGTCCTAAAGTATTTCTATCAACCTTACTTACCATGCCCCAAGCTCGAACAAACCTTTGACGATAACCTTGGACATCACTCTCGTAGTCGAATATAATACCTTGGATAAGCGCGTCACGAGGACCATCTCTTCGAGCATAGCCAAATTTTCATAGAGCCAACAAAGGGTTATAAGAAATACATCCCTTAATGCCCAAGAGTGGAACATTAGGGAACTCCCCACAATGGTCAATGATAGTAACGTCCTCTTGAGATCGAGAACACCAAATGATATCAGAATGAGAGAGTGCCATCATTCTTTGAGACCAAATCAAGCCTTGTTCATTCTTCAATATTGATCGAGGAAGGTGCGAAATAAACTATCTAGATAGCAACAATATGCAACACATAAGAGCTCCTCTCTTTCTCATGGTGCAAGTCTGAAGAGTATGAAAAATGTCTCCGAGCAAAGTTGGTACAGGGTTATAAGAAAGGAATATTTTGACAGCATTCACATTGTTGTACCCCAAAATTTTCCCTCTCATTTTATCAAGATTTTCCTTACAAGACTCTTTGGACTCAAGACCAGATTGGGGTTTGCTCAGCTCAAGACATCTCCTTGCACTGGTGACCTGAAATTAGGGTTTGAGTTTGCACAAGGATTTTTGGACTTCCAATGCCTCATATGACTTTCATACTTCATGTTGGACCTATAAGATTGCCCATACCAAGTTTCAAGCTTTGACTCAAATTTTTGCCCAATCAATTGGATAGTTGACCTAAAAATCAATTGTATTGGGGAAAAAGTCAATTGTGGCCAATTTACAGTCAAACCTCATAATTTTTTATTCACATCAATATTATAGACTCATATGAACCATTTGATCAAGTTTGGACCACAACTCCTCAAGAAATTTGATCAAATCTTCAAAAGGGCAAAATGGTCATTTTTAGGGTTTTGACTGAGAAAGGCAATTTCTGATTTTTCACCTAGCCAATGGCAAATTGGGTTCAAGTATGGTTTAAAGGAATCAATTGCATCATCTGGACCTAATCACAAATTTCAAAAGATCTCAAATGCATTGGATTGACAGATAAATTTTCCAGTCAACTGATCAAAAATCAACTGTACACTGAAAAGTCAAACTTTGACTTTTTGGTCAAAATCAAGTGCCAAGGGTCATTTTTCATCAAGATGTGTCAAAACATGAAACTTGTTCACCAAGAAACCTAATTTTGAAAATTAGGGTTTAAGTTTGAAATTTTTCATAACTTAGAATTTTTCTAAGTTATGAAAATTTCTTATTTGTCCCCAACTTTTCCCAACTTTTTCACCATGATGAAATTGGATTCAAAAGAAACTTTCAACATGAAATTTGTAGTCCTCCACAAAATCTACAACTTTGATTCACAAAGTTTTCCCAAAAGATTCGTGATTCTCAAGTTATGATTTTGTGAATAGGGGTCCAAAAACTTTCTAACTTAGTGAAATTTTGCCCTAGTTTAGGCAGATTTTTGACCTAACTTCATGACAACTTTTCACCTAGTTCCAATTGGAATCTCAAAATGAATTTCAAATATGGATTGTAGAGCATGTTACAAGCTTTCCAAAATTTACAAGAACTCTCCAAGATCATTTATGGTTAGGGAGAATCGAAGGAAAGAAAATGGTCATTTCTCACTTTTGCCCATGGCATTTTTCATATTGGTTCAAGTTGCAAATCAGTTTGGATCATGCTTGTAATTGCATTACAGGTTCTAATCATTTTTACACTCCAAAATTGAATGCAAATACAATGGTTAATGACATTGTTTTGATCTTTGAAGCTTTGTACAAGGGTTTAATCCAAAAATGGCAAAAAGGTTACATTACTACTTTGATAAAGCACACTTTATGCAATTTTGTTTATCTTGAGCATTGGACCCAATCTCTTGCAGCAAACAAAGTCCATGAATATCAGGCAAAGTTCACCAACTATATGCAGGCCTTGAGCTATCCTGTACAGGCTTTGGCTTTGTCAACTCAACTTTTCTTCAAAAACAAGCCAACTTGCAAAAGTGAACATAACTTGAAAATCTAATAAGAGCAAGTCTAAGTCTCATTTCAAACAACCTCAGCATATTGTACCAAGCCTAAAACACGATTTGCCAAGCTCCCAAACAGCCTAAAACACAAAATCACAAGTTCTTGTCAAAACAGGGCCATACCTGCAGAACCACTTCCAAAACCAAATTGGCTCGTGCGTTTTACCTTGAACCACTTCAAACACATTCCCTATAACACACCTGAGCTATCCAAGCCATTTTTCAGCAATTGTAACCTCATTTTCAAGCTTCACCATTTTCAATTTCCGAGTTTGCATGTTGACTTCTACAAGGAGATTCAAGCCATTTCAAAGCAAGTTGAGCATTGGGAAAGGTCAAGGGAACTTCAAGCAAGCTCAAAAGAACTTCAGGCCTCACTCAAAGTTGCTACACTGCCATAGCCAAACTCGACTAAACAAAGGTAATTTTCAAAGTTCTATCTCCTTGTTTAAGCATCATTGGGCTTAGTTTTGTGAAGCAAAAATGTAGTCCTTAAGTTCCTTGAGTTGTGCATATGCGTAGATTTCATTTATATTAACTGAGCTAGGAGAATTTGGATGATGAATATGCTAAAAATTTTAGGTCAGAAATTATGGGTGACAAAATTCTCTCTAGTCTTTGAGAGTTAGGTCAAGTTTTTTATATCAATGGAATCGTGACTAAAAATGCTACAAGTTTCATGTTGCAAGATTTCGTTTTTAAACACGTATGCAGGAGTTACAGTTTGAACAAGGGCGCACACATTTTTTTTGTCTGAAGGACAGGGATGAAGTGAACATTGAGCTTGGGCTTGTTGTTTCTGCTTTTGACACCCTCCATTTTGTTATTTGCACCCCCTTGGCCCATTTCTTTTATTTTTCATATTTTCTTGCATATTTCACATTTCTGACTTTTATTTATTTTTTCTAAACAAATAAAAATCTCAAAAATATTTTCTTTATTTTTTCTAAACAAATAAAAATCTCAAAAATATTTTCTTTAAAATAATAATTAAAAAAATGATGAAGTTTATATTTTTTTACAATTTATTATAAAAAATAACACAAACTAATCTAGAAATCTAATAACTAAATTCTTAATTAAGGAAAATTAGATGACTTATTTTTTCTGGGTATTTTTTTTATATTATATATAAGGGCTAAATAAATGAAAATAATTTAATAAAGATTAATTGACTAAATAATATAAACTAAATGATCAGGAGGTGCATAAATACAAGTATTAAGGGGGGTAAGAATAATCTATGGTCCTAAAGCCCAAATCTAATAAAAGACCATAATTTACATTATAATTAAATAAGAAAAAAACAATAAAAGATATTATGCAAAGAGAGAGATCCACCACAGATCACTACTTACTATTAAATTGGTGAATCTATTTTTCAAACCAACACCAGAACCAATGAAACCATGACACATGGGTATTATAATTAAAAACAATAAAAACAATTAACAAGTAATTGAAAGAAGAACAAAGACATTTAGTTTTCTAAACCCACTCATTTTTTTCTACCCAAACAAACAGAACAAAGCAAGGGTGAAATAGAGAAGAAGAAAACATTCATGGGGGTTCGTGGCTGCAAAGGGTCAGTCTATCGACAATGGTCTCCATGCATCCGGCGGTATCGTGGTTGTGTAGACCACCGTGTTGGCGCGAAGGACCTAGTTGTCAGATTTTTGCTTGAATCGCGTGTGTGCGTGGTGACTCGTCAAAGATCTTTGCAACGATGGTGTGTGGATGTTGTGAGATGGGTAGCTTGGCGGATGATGTGTTGGCCGGTTTCCGGTATGTACGTGAGACGGTGGCAGCGGTGAATCTGTCAATAGATATGGGTCACGCGGGAACCATGTCACTGTCATGTGGTGGTGATTGTGAACGGTTCTGGCGAATTTGCTTTTCAGTCTATTCTTCCTTCTTCTTGAGTTCTGCAAAAACCAATAACTTTGTACAAATATTGGTTTAGTGTTGTTGTGATGTGCCCAAAAAATAAATTGTTAATATACATGTTATGAATTTTATATGTTGATTTTGTTTAAAATACAATGAAGATGATGATAATGTGAAAAGAGAAAAAAACAGTTCTTTTTTGTGTGTGATGGTTTGTGTGGAATGGCTTAGTTTTCCTATTGATATAAAAAAAAAAAGTGACATTAATATGAAGCAGAGAACTAAAAAAATTAAGTTTGAAGGTTTTATGGTTCAAAGTTAACATTTTTGTCAAAACGTGATTTTTTTAGGAATACACAGTGTACGTGAATTCGTAGTAGATCTCAGAAAACAGAATTTGTGAACATAGAAAATTGGGTGTGGAAAAAATAGGGCTTCCAATAATTATTAGTATCATAATATAATTCGAAAAAATGCAACTATCAGTTAATCATCTGGTTGAAACAACAACAAATTTATAATTAAAAAGGAGTTGAAAATATTATGGTGGTGCCTCATATGAAATAATCGGCCAAAACCAAAATATCACCAATAGTATTGAAAAGAAAAAAAAGAAACTTGCAAATAAAATATAGCGTATGTGAGTGAGTGAAATTTTGAGAGATTGTGAAATTATTGATGGAAAATTAGGACAAACTAAGGTCCTATTTATAAGCTTAGGATTAGGTTAAGAATACTTAACAATTAAGTTAGTCCAAAATGTATAAAAGCCCAAGCCCGATTTCCAAAAAAGGAAAGAAAATTAGCAAAAAAGAAATTATGTTAAAAATGCAACACACAAGATTCGAGTCTGCGACCTCATATTTATAAGCTTCATTCCTTACCAAATATATTATGTTACTTATTCGAAGTAAAAAGCCAATTGAAAGTATATGAAAGGTGTGCAAATATTTGTTATTTTAAAAATACAAATAATTTGAAATAAATTATTATATTTTTAACTGGACTTGAGAACGAATATTTATAGAATTCCAAAATATTAACATAAATCAAAAGAATTTTATAAAAATCTAAGTTTGAAATTAATTTCGACCGTAGTGATAAAGGGCGAGAAAATTTGGGGTATGACAACTGCCCTTATTTAATCATCTTTCAATTGAATAGTGCAAGAAGACGTAAGTATCGTACGTTTTGATCGGAATTTTATTAAGGATACGCAATACAACATTCCCATGAGTGTGAAGAATATGCATGGATGATGATGTATCATCTTACCAGTGTTTGAACCAAAGTTTTGTATTGACTTAGACATGACGACGCGGATAACTCGTCAGTATCTAAAAGAGATTGTAAAATTTTGCATATTTATCGTAACCTAAGAGGTAAATGATACAAGTTTGAAAAGCTGACTTACTAATACTTGGGGACTAATATAGTAAGTTTATGATTTGATTTGATTTTGATTATTCATCTCAACCTAGGAGGTGAATAAAACAAAGTTTGGTAATGCATTGCTGCATGGAGACTGATGCAATGGATTACGCTGATTTAATCGTATATCTATCGCCACCTAGGAGATAGATATTTGAAAAGAATATTGATAACAACAGCGCTGCATGGAGATGATTGCAAAGGTTTATGTTACGTATTTCATACATTTCTACATGGAGCCTGACGCAATGAGATATATCAGAAAATGTTTGATGACAACATTGCTGCATGGAAACTGATACAATGAGTTATATTGCAGAAAAGGTTTGACGACAACATTTTTGCATGAAGATTGATGCAATGAGTTATATTGTAGAAAAAGCTTGATAACAACATTGCTACATGGAGACTAATGTAATGAGTTATATTGCAGAAACATCTTAATAACAACATTGCTGCATGGAGACTAATGCAATGAGTTAAACTATGAATTTTGCACAATGCTGCATAGAGCCTGACATATTGAGCTAGATCACAGAGAAGGGAACCACATTGTTGCATGAAGCCTGAATCAATGAGTTATATTGCGGATCTCGCACATTGCTGCATAGAGCCTGACACAATTAGCTAGATCGTAGAGGAGGAAACACATTGTTACATCAAGCCTGACGCAATGATTTAAATTACGGATTTCGCACATTGCTACATGTAGCCTGACACAATGAGCTAGATCATAGAGGAGGAAACACATTGGTGCATGAAGCCTGACGCAATGAGTTAAATTGCAGATTCTGCATATTATTGCATGGAGCCTGACACAATGAGCTAGATTGCAGAGGACGAAACACATTGCTTCATGAAGCCTAACGCAATTATTTATATTGCAGATTTCACACATTGGTGCAAGGAGCCTTAGGCAATGAGCTATATCGCAAAGGAGGAAACACATTGCTGCATGGAGCCTTAGGAAATGGGTTAAATTGTAGATTTCACATATTGCTGCATGGAGCCTTAGGCAATGAGCTATATCACAAAGAAGGAAACACATTTCTTCATGGAGCCTTAGGCAATGGGTTAAATTGAGGATTTCGCACATTACTGCATGGAGCCTTAGGCAATGAGCTATATCGCAAAGAAGGAAACACATTGCTGCATGGAGCCTTAGGCAATGGGTTAAATTGTGGATTTCACACATTGCTGCATGGAGCCTTAGGCAATGAGATATATCGCAAAGAAGGAAACACATTGCGGCATGGAGCCTTAGGCAATGAGTTAAATTGCGGATTTATCACATTGCTGCGTAGATCCTTAGGCAATGAGCTATATCGCAAAGAAGAAAACACATTATTGCATGGAGCCTTAGGCAATGGGTTAAATTATGGATTTCGATCATTATCGATGGAGCCTTAGGCAATGAGCTATATGGTAATGAAGGAAACAAATTATTGCATGGAGCCTTAGGCAATGAGTTAAATTGTGGATTTCGCACATTGCTGCATGGAGCCTTAGGCAACAAGATATATCGCAAAGAAGGAAACACATTACTGCATGAAGCCTGACGCAATGAGTTAAATTGCAGATTTTTCACATTGCTGCATAGAGCCTTAGGCAATGAGCTATATCGCAAAGAAGTAAACACATTGCTTCTTGAAGCCTGATGCAATGAGTTAAATTTTTAGAGGAAGTTATTTAATGATCAAATCTTAGATAACTAAATCAGAGATAAGATCAGATATTTACCGGTTGTCTGTTTTCAACCAAGGTAATAATCTGATGGAGGGCCAAGAGATATTGGTTCCGCCCAAAGTATGTTTTGAGAAATTCCATGTACGATGTATGTGCATGATGTCTTAGATCATTATGGAACCCAAAGTGTATATGCACTGAGTGTTTGTGTATGCCCCAAGTATTTACTTATGTGCAAAATGTGTGTATATGCCCCAAAATGTAATGAAAAATGTTTTTGGTATTCTCTCCTTTGTTAAACTATCGGGTTATCATAATTGCCAACTCCCCGACATTGTTTATTGCTAGTTATTGTATTTCTAAGTTGATTTGAATTTTGATAAAGCATGGTGAATAGTGGCAAAGTTATAGGTGATTTGTATTGCAGGCGTAGGCGTAGACGTGGTCGTAGGCGTGGGCGTGGAAATAGGCATGGATTTTCCTTCGATGTTTTTATAACCAGAATAAAATTTGATGCTTTATCAAATGCTCTTTGGTGTTTCCGTATATTAGATGCATAAAACATGGTGAATGACCCTGAGATTTTGGTATGGTTATGTGTACGCCATGCTTGATGTGAGGCTCTTTAACCGGAAATCCACTGCCAAGATTTCCGAGGAATCTGCTGCCGAATTTCAATTGAGAACTACCTTCTGTCGAGGTCTTCTGGATAATCATCTTCCGAGATTAACCAGGAGAATCTACTACCGTGATTCTGTTGAGAAAATATATTATGCTGAGGTCTTTTGGAAAATCATCTGCCGAGATCAACCAGGGTGTAGAATTACCTTCTGCCGAGGTCTTCTGGTTAATCATCTGTCGAGATTAACCAGGAGAATCTACTGCCAAGATTCTGTTGAGAAAATACATTCTGCCGAGGTCTTCTGGAAAATCATCTGCCGAGATCAAGCAGGAGAATCTTCAGATTCGATGTAGAATTACCTTCTGACGAGGTCTTCTGGATATTCAACTGCCGAGATTAACCAGGGGAATCTACTGCCGAGATTCAACGTAGAATAGGTAGCTTTATTGACAATGATGATTGACTTTATATAAAACAAGGTTTTTATGCCATGCATGTAAATTTGATTGATGCATGAAATGTAATGATTGATTGATACATGTAATGAGTGACTTGGATATGTGTAAATGGATGTTGGACTTTAAAATGCGGATGCGTAATTGGGGTTTTTGAGATATTATCGACCCATGTTGTCGGTCTTCATCAGATGGATGAGATGATAAGTATAGTCTGATTCTGGGTCGAGGAGCCCTAATGCATGATTTATGCAGCTTTATGCTTTATGATTATGACTCGAATGTTTTGTTGAATGGTGCCCCCATGATGGGTTGTGGATGATTAAAGCGTAGAGGTTTGACTATGCAACAAGGTTTCTTGTCACATGATGGTTGAATGTTATGTTATCATGATTCCTCAATACTCGATTTGAACTTGAAGATTGCCAATGTAGGAGAAAGATCCACTGGAGATTATGAAAGTACACGGAAAGCTTGTCCCTGTGTGGACTGCCCTTCCCTAATTTGTTGGTAGGGTTTTGGAAGAGATTTTCATTTATATGAGCTTTGGAAATAGTTTTACCGTAATATGAATTACCCTACTACTTTGCATTCTGAAACCTTATGCCATTTACTAATGAGTTCTTGGATGGTTTTCCCTTGATGGGCTATTTTTTTAACCAATTTCTTCTGAATGAGCCTTGTAGCGGTATACCCTAACATTTTTACTTCTTGAAAGGTATGCCCTCACTCT